GCATGCACACATACACATCCATGCGCATAGTTATGTTGAGGCTTATGGTAATCATTTCATTGGCAATTTCCTGGAGTTTAAGTTTCAGAGGAGGAGTCCTGGCTAAAAGAAGAATACAGTATTGGTAGCTAAACCTAGGGCTCTGGAAAGATAATGGGATATGTAAAAGAGAGACCTTCATCACCTCGTTAGCTGGGGCTTTGAATCAAGGACTGGCATAGTGAAAGGGAACTCACTCTCAGATGTTAGGGTACTGCACTAGAATAGAAATATTCAAATAGCCTTTTTCTTTTCCTTTCTCAGGGCTATACGTTCATCATTAGCTTTGCTCACAGTGACACTAGAAAATCAAGCCAACTAGAATGACTTTTGGGTGTGGGTGTGCTACACCTAGTTAAAACATGACTTGAAATAAGCAGTTCAGGGTTTTTAAGTGATTTTATTAGCACCATTTATTTTAGGCAATTGTTGGGTTTGAGAGCAAGTAGGCAGTTATAATATGCTTTACCTATAACATCTTGGTTGCAACCCTGGGATCACGCAACAGGGGATCTTGTGTGTGTTAATGGCCATCACCGTGGGGCTCCGTTGTGGAAGCTGTAACTCAGGAGGAATCGTTCTTCATGTAAGTCGACTTGTTGACTTCATGTGAATCATAAGTAAACGCTGTTCGGTATTTTGTGGGATCAGGTCATTACATCTTGATTATTAATTAAATAGCAATAGCGTACAGAAAATAGCCATGAGAATGTGGGGACTTAGCTCTTTAATATCTAGCCATGTCAGGAGCTATGCGAGTTCAAGCAAAACAGAAACCACTGTGCCCTGTATCTGCAGTGCGGTTGAGTCCGTTTAGCTCTGATTTCAGGCAGCTCTCACATCGGTATTGTAACTGCCTCCTAATTGTTGGTGTTGTAGAGGAAATACACTGCGATTCCTGAGCTTCTCCCTCACAGGAAGGCATAGCGGTGCTCCATTTCTCAAGCTATCCATTTTTTGTTAAAGCAGTCTGAAAGCTCAGATACGTATGGAGAAAGCAAGAAGCAGCGCCTGGAGGAAACCCCAGCTTCCTGCCTACTTCCACCTTGTATCTCTCCAATACCCAACCACAGATTAAGCAGCACTAAAGAGTAAGTTGTTTTTTTTCCTCTTTAACATTAAGCTTTGACTTTCTGGTAGTGTGCTTCACTATCTGTGGGTGCGGGACTGCATGATAGAGGGTGAGTATTGCTCATTGGCATGGTGTCATTGTTTGCATAAGCTGTACTGTGGATCCAGTTTTCCTGAATGGACTTGAGTTACCATATTACTGGACTGCAATATCACTGAAATATTGAGACATATCCTTCCAGCTGGGCCCAAGCTGCTCTGATCAGCTCCAGCCTATGTGTTCAGACGGTCCCCCGAGAAGCGCTCTATATACGAACATACAGATCTTGTAGACTTTGTTTGAAAACACTGCTTCTGTCAATGCCAAATCTTGATTTTGCTTAGAAAAGCAGTGGTTGTGCTTTTAGTTTCAGTGGGATCACAATTTGGCCCTTATACAAAGCTAGGAGCAATAGCTGGTAAATGCTTCAGACATGAATATTGCTTTATTTTGTAGAGTGCATATATGCACAGTCTTAGTTTCCCTCTGAAGTACTGTGTTTCTCAGAGGTGGCTATATTGCTTCAGTAAACAGACACCCCATAAATAACATTTATTACTATCATAATCGCCAGATTAACAATTTATAAATACAGATAGGTCCTGATTCTTTTCTCTCATCAGTATGGCACTTTTATTGCCTTCAGAGGAGCCACAGCTGATTTACGCTTGAGCGAGCAAAGAATCAAGCCCAAGAAGTGCGTGTTCTTGTGGGGAAAGTATCACAGTAACTTTTAAATATGTAAAAATGGTCAGAAATTGATGGGCATGCAGTCTAAATCTATACAGAATTCTGCAGATTATAATCTTATTTTCACTGGGATTACTCCCTGCGAGTTGTTATTGTTTTAATCTAGATATGAAGATAATAGTCTCTGAAAATATAGTCTGATCCTCTATATGATAAAACTGGAAACAGCTGAGAGTTGCAGGTCATGGTGTGGTTTGTAACGTGCATTTAATAAGCATCATGATGGGTGTTGCCTGATTGTCATTCCTGGGAATACAGTGAGCTGAGATGTATCACAGAGGGAATAAAAAATTAGCCATCCCCAACACCTCCACAATCCATTAAAAAAATCTTTCTATTCCTGTCTTCAACAAGCCCTCAGGATCCACCCCCAACCTGATGTTTCTTAATTTGAGCTTGTTTTCCAGGTCATTAATTTGATTCCTTAGAGCTTGCAAGCCTTTGGTATTCTCTGTTAAAATATAATTGTGTCCATCAATAGTTATTTCCATATGTTAGCTTTTTCTCTCCCCCGCCTCAAGTTATGAACAAAAAAATTCTGACTTCTCCACTGAGGTGATTGAGACCTGGATCACATCACATTTGTTTTAATAGCTTCTGAATTCATATTAAACAAATCCAATATGGTTTGCTAATTTGGGTCTGCAGTTCCCAGTGACAGACAGCTGAATGTAGGGCAGCCCATTTCCCAAAGATTCGGGAACTGAAATTGTGATACCAAATTTTGGGACAGCCCCATCTTATTTTTAAAAACTTGTCACTTATTCAAAATTAAGGGAAAGAAATAGCATTGTAGTGGCAAAATATTACGGCTGCTTACAGATGTTAACACCCACCCCCCCTCCCCAAAACAGCGCTTTACTTTAAATTTGGCACGCTCCCGTTCTGAGCACAGCAGATGCCCAAAAGAGGCATCGTGTTAGTTGGACCTGGCTCACTTGCTTGAATCAGCCATTAGATAAAAGCACCACAAAGCTCCACTGAAGTGCCCGATCTATACAGATGCTGCAGAGCCGGGTCCAACTAACACGATGCCTCTTCCCATAAAGCGCTTTTTTTTTTTTTAAACATTTGTAAGGAGCCATAAAGACAAGCTTAGTCATTTCAGTCATGAATTTTCTTCTCAATGGTTCAGTATTTTAATTCAGTAGAGCCGTGCTAGTCTGGTACTTAATGAGTGAGAACTACTGTGAAATAGTGAATGTAGCCCCAATCCTGAGGACCCCCATGACCTTAAGTAGATCCTGCATATGTCCAAGGGTCCACCCCTGCAGAAATGTCTGAAGATTGGGATCTGTGGGCCAGTTTTTAAAGATACTGAGACCCCCTAAACAATGCAAGTAGGAATCTACTGGGGCTTTCAGAAATACCTAGAAACTTAACTCTCATTGAAATCAATGATCTACTTGCCTATATGCTTTCTGCACCATCTAAACACCTTTCAAAATCTGGCACTAAGTGAGTAGAAACAAGAGGATAAGCAAGGACACTGTCTCAGATTATTTTTAGAGGGCTACATGTGTCAGTGTGTAGGTCATTATATATATCATTTGCATATATTTCCAAAACGTGAGCAAGCTCCAAAACTGCAGGGGAAGGCAGGGTATTTGCTATGTTCAAATGATCAGTTTTGAACCTAATGGCAATCTGCACGCACAAATTTAAATGCACATAATCTGGCCATTTAGTTATAGTAACAGCATCATCAACCAGGCATCTCTCTGTTTGTGTCTTCCTTCAAACAAGGGTCAGCAACGTTTCCCGGCAGTGGGCCAGAATAACGCAGCTTGTTTCCAAGCTGGCCACTACTGCCACTGCTTCTCTCCACCACCGCCGTTCTGTGCCACCCATCCATGGCATAGCTCGGAGCCACTGCCCAGTGTGGGATGGGCAACCCCCCCAGCCCTGAACGCCACCAAAACCCTTGCTCTGTGGGTCAGATCAAATGACTGTGCAAGCCAGGTCCAGCTCACAAGCCATAGGTTGCCGACCCCCACTATAAAGCATCATGGGCTTCTTTCTTTTCCCAAATCTAAACCAAGATATTACACATATAATGATTTCAAAGAATTATAACTTAACGTTAATAATTTCTAAGACTCTGCATTGTGCTAGTGAATGCATTGTGATATGTCAGGTGCAAACATTTGTTTTACTAGGATATCGCCCTAAGAGCGTTCAGTTAAACTCGGGCAGGAACAGTTTACACACCGCAGTTTTGAATGCAGTTTCAGGCTGGCTAAAACTATGTGCAAAATGGGGTTGAATTCAGCACATATCTTCAGCCTTCTCTTATTTCAGGAGCGTCAAACCCATCCAGCCTAGCAGGCCCCAGATTGGGCCCACAAATCAGTCCCGCATGTGCTGGCTCCAGTCCCACTCACCACAAGCAGTAGGTGCTGGCCCTGGACCCACGCGTGGTGTGCAGAGCCGGGGCAGGTCTAGAGCTCACACTACATATGATGCATGGGACCAGTCTGGGGCATGCACTTGTGATACCCATGCCAGACTAGCCCTGTCCATTGGATCTGAGACCCAGACAGGCCACAGGATAGAACTCCATGAGCCAGGTCTTTGACATCCCTGCCTGATTTCCTCCCCCTATTTTGTCCTCAGGAAAACAGAAACAAAGAGGAAAGAGAACTGGTGGTTTCAAAACTTAATAAATCTTGCATTCCTACACCATGGTATCTCCAGTGGGCCTATGCACCTCATTTCTACAGATTGCTTTGGACATTAAGCACATGCAGCATTTTATTTTTTTTAGATCCACTACCTGTTTCACAGTAAGAAAATTGTTATTAATTTATTCACTTGCAAAAGCAATTTTGCAGGTGTAATTAATTATACATGCAGGTGATGGCAATTAATGTCTAACTGCTTGTTCGGTGGACACAGTCCAATCTGGTAAGACAACTAGTTCCCCACATTTCAACATGCATAACAGCACTAGTAGTTATTCACATGTGCAAAATGGGAGTCTGGCTTGACAATGAGGCCCATAGAGTTAAGTATGCACATTCTCGTACAGGGAATTTCCTGTCCTAAGCAAATATTTTAGAGTATCTCTGAGATTTCCTCTTCACTTTTGTTTGACCTTTAGTGAAAGAGGCATCTGTACCAGGCAGCGTCCATTTGCTGATCCCTTGGGTGGTCACAACAGCTTTCAATGTGGCATTTTTCACAATAAAACTAGCCTAATACCTCTATGACAATGACTTCAGCTTCATTCAGTTGCTGCTGTACGGTCCAACCTAGTGTGAGAGTGGCTTTCCCCACTAACCCCCTGCAGAAAATCGGATACACCATCAATGTGAAGCATTTTGTGGGGGACACAGTGAGTAGACGGAAGAGAAAGCCGAATGACTAACATAGACAATGGCTTTGTCTCACTAATAGGCCAGAGATACTATAGCACACCAGAAGGAATGGATAAATAAAGGGTCAAGAATGGCAGCTTGAAATTTGAGAGTAGATGAAATTTTCCGTCTTTTAACACTGACCCTCTTGTTCTTGCTTCCTCCCCTAAAATAAACCAGGCTGAAAAAGACAGATGTGGAGACTTTTAATTTCTTGGTAATTGGCCTTCTCAGATACAAAGATTAAACCCCGGAGCCAAAAGACCGTCAGTTCTGCTTCTATTTTTCCCTGCATTTTTACTGCATTTGTCCGTAGATTATAAATATAGTTTAACTAACAATCACATCAGCAAATTAAATCATTGAGTCTGGGTAATTCATTCAAAATTAGCAGTTACTGCAATGAAAGCCCAGTTTGTTAGCCCATTAACAGCCCAAAGCAAACTGACAATCTGGTTAACTGCTGGTTACAATTGATTTCACGGAGGCTGTTGTTACCATCAGTGGTTTGGTGTAAATCTAATGCAGATAATATTGCTGCAAAAATGATCGGTGCAGTTCCTCTGAAAACCGATTTGGATTGAGAGGGCAACAAACAAACAAAATGGCGAGTGTTACTGTGGCCTGGGACCGTGATCACTCACAAGCTGCACAATGACCCTTTGAGGTCAGAGAGCCAACAGGGAAGGCTTTGAATGAGGACCGTCAGGAGACAGTAATATATGATGTCTACCCCAGTCTTCCCTGGGAGTCCCCCATCTCTATTGGAACGTGGTTGTTTTCATTTGGTCATACCCAGCTGGCAAACATGTTTTCTGCCTAAGATGCCATCCATCACCTTGTCATTGTAAGGCCATATGTATACTGTGTTTATGAAGGTTTGAAGACCTTTCATATGGAAAAGAATTTTCAATGGGATATTTTTGTGGCATTTCAGTTGCACTGAAAATGTCTTCAAGGCAATAAAATATCTTTGTTGACACAACAGGATTTTATCTGGAAATATTAGCATGATTTTAGATTACCAAAACTGACACAAAGGCCAGAATTAGGGAATGCCTGAAACAAAGATGATAATCATTAAAATTGGTAACGTTCTGCAACCCAACCAGACGGAAATAGGAAACTGGTATTGAATGTTAGCGGACTGAGAAATCAACAGGCTTGCATTGCTTGTTCCTCTTTGATTTGTGGCTCTGAAGTATTGTAAATCTATAATTCCTGACACTGACTAAAACCAACTAAGAGGGAAGTATAAATTCTTGTTGACTTAATTTGTTATTGAAAATTTTAGTCAATAATCATGAAAAGTAAATGGCTGTGTAGTGCAATATCAGTTGTCTAAGGAAAGATTAAAATTCAAGTAATCTTCATTGACCGGACTAGGGCAGTAACTAAACTAAAAATCTATGACCAAATTAACATGTTAAACAGTCAAGTTTTGTTTTTCTTTTTTTTTTTTTTTACATCATGGTCACGGTTTGTATGTTACTGACCATTTCTCCATAGAAGACAGTGTTTTTGTTCGTCTTTCTTGTAAAAATCAAATTTCTTTTCTAAACTAGATTTGTTCATTAACCTGTGTTTGCTCAAGGACTTTTGTCAACTCCCCTCAGTTTTATGTAGCAACTTTCATTGTTTTTTCTCTAGAGGTCAAATAATTACTAGCTTGTTATGGCTGTGGTTAGTGTTGTGTAGTTGGTATAAACCGTTTTGCTCATTCACACGCTAAGGGTAGGCAAAGGAGCCCAGAAATGGCACTGAAGAAGATGTTTCATTTTAAGCACAAAAGTAGCTTTATTTGAGGACCTTTTCCCATGCACAGATTTCTTCCTTTCCTTGGTGATGAGGCCTACTTTGAGCGCAGATTCAAGTCAGTGTTTAAAGTGCTCAGAACTTGTCAAAGTAGAGTTGAAGTAGTCCCCTGAACAGAAGACCATTGTAGCCCAAAAAACCTAGACCCTCATTGGCCTCCTCATTTTATTCCTACAACGTAAGGATTGTCACACCACCATGAGAACTGAACATAGCTTCCAGACACATAATATGAAGGATTTGGTGGTATAACGAATTTAAAAATACACCCAAAGGCTTGTAACACCATTCCCCTCTGTGTCCAAGGAGCAGCACTAACTCCGTTAAAAAGGCGGCTAAGAAAAGAGAAGAGAAGCTGTTCCCTCCTCCGCTCTCCCCGCTGTTGGATGAGCCAGTACACAGGCGGCACAGCAGTGACAACTCCTTCAACCAAGAGAGTAACGTCACAAACTCCTTGCAGACCAGCAGCTCTTCCTCTTCTACGTCCAAACACAGAAAGAATGAAAGCAAATCCTCTGCTAACCCCAAAGGACTCTGTGTAAGTAACTGATCGGAGTTGCTGAAAGTGAACAAGATAAAACAAAAGTAACTAAGCTTTGTTCTGTTTGATTTTTTTCCTCCAATATCTTTTTCAAATCCCCCTGTAACCCCACTGAAGAGAGGCTAGGAGTGGAGCGCTGGGGAGCTGTACACTGGCAACCCTTGCAAGTTCCATTTTTAGATCAGCCTTAAGCGTCGATTTGACACTGGGTATAACTGACTACAGCACCCGGTCCCTGAGCTTTATTGAGCTGCGTTTCCAGCAATGGGCTGTCTGCATTTAGTCCTCCTATCTCCGTAGCTTTTACCACACACATATTAGGAAAAAATTGCTTTAATGAATTTGGTGTAAGTGTCGTATATTTAATGAGTTTGGTGTAATGTTTGTATATTTCATTTGAATAATATCCCCCCGAATTTGCCATTGAGCACTGTAGCTAAACTAGCTATCACACCTTGAACTAAGCGTGCAGCAAAAATCCATTTAAAAATGACCAGCCTGTACTAGACTCAGCACCAGCATATTGGAGCATTTACATTTCTGCTGGAAGGTGCCTCCTTAATTACATTTTTCTTGTTTCCCTCCATCCACTTCAGTCCTACTTTTGTTTTCTTTAATTTTGCGCCTACCAAATCCAGGGCTTCCTTACTGGTGGGTTTCATATAACGCCCAAAACACTACAGACTAGTCAAGCCCTCATATCTGTGCTCTGAAACCATCAGCCAGTCAGGCTTGGTCACAACCAGTCCTCTGTCCTCCACACAACTGACCACACTTACTTGTATCAAGCTCACGTGGACCAATCAGGGTCCTTTTGTGCCTACTTTCCCCACGTCCCATCAGTTAGGCCTATGAGCGCTTGGCTTATCTCCTCTCACAAGCTTGCACACTTCCAGCTCCTATCAGTGAGGTTAGTTTGTGTAGTTCATAAACTTTCAACAATAATGTGAATAACCGCTAAAAAAAATACCCGAATTCCAACGTTCTTTTAAAAATCTCCCCTGTTGGATCAGTCCTCCTTAGGGACCAGCTATAGACATTGGTCAACAATGAAAAGATTGTCTGCTAAGGAAACATTTTAAAGAAACTTATTAAAAATGTATGAAGAGACAGCAAGCAAAAAATGTACAGGAAATTCAGTGGGCATTAAAAAGCAACCCAGTGAGAAACTCCACACTGACTGACTACCTACATCAGTGATTTTCAACCAGGGTGCCATGGTCCCTTGATGTGACTTGAGATCTTTTCAAGGGTGCCACAGGGCCTCACATGATGTTAGCTGTTAGGTGTGCAAACATGATTCTCACAAGAGAAACCCAGAGATTTCAAATAGGAGTCCTATAGTGTTAAAAATATTAGGACCTGTTGTGGTCTTTCTGAGTTCTTTGCAACAGAATAGTTCTGTTATATTTCTGTATCCAAAAAAGAAAGAGAGTGAAAACAGCTGGAATTTTCTGAGGGGGCGCTTTGAGGCTACAAGGTTGAGAACCATTGACCTACATTAAGGGAAATAGGAAAATTATGCCTCATTTCAAGCTAATTTTAGAAAGCAGCCCTAATACGGAATTCCAAGCAGGTCTTCTCTCAAATACAAGTTTTGAATTTTAACCAGCGCAAGAGTGGGCATGTTAGGCCTAAATTTTTGCAGTTTCCCATATCATGGAAGATCTCCAACTTCATACCATAAAAATGAAACATCCAAGTTGTAGTGTGTAAGTGACAATAGCCATGCAAAATTATTCTCTCAATCCTATTACTTTGTGATATTATTGTGTTACTAAAAGCCATGAGAGTAATTTATGTTCGTTCCACCAATATCAGTGCCAAATGAACAGCTTATGTCAGTAAATAAAAGGTGCTGTGTTAACACTAGAAACACTTCCCTCTTCGGTTCCAGTTTCTCCAGTCAGATTTATGTGCAACTTATCCAGTGAAATATTTACTGTCTAAAACTTCTCCTAGTTTATTGGTTAATCTGTAATTTAGTTCATCTGATTATAAACTGAATTTAAACACAGTAGATTTTCCAATTTACGCGAGTATTGCGTTCCAGGGGATTTCATGTAAGTCGAATTCACATAAGTCGGGACAACATTCCCCATAGGAAATAATAGAATAATGAGGGGTTGCATACCCCAGACATACCATAGTCATAGCTTTTTCCCCCTTTTCTCTGTGGAATCGCTTTTAGGAGGTGTGTCTAGCATCTCACCTACGCATCTTGAGATGCTGCTACCACAATGGCGGCACACCAGTGGCACAATGGCGGCACAGCTCCGCTTGATTCTGCCTGCAAATCTTGTAAGGCATTCGTGTATATACTCAAATCTCGCGAGCGTTTACATATATACATGAATGACACGCATCTCAAGGGGCATTCTCAAGTCCGGACCCTAATAAAAAATCACGTAAATGCAAGATGCGTAAGTTAGAATCGTATAAATTGGGGTCAGCTGTACTGAAAGCACCTGTTGTAGTATGTAGCTCTAGCTTTACTCAATCCAGGATACCATTCCTAATTCCTTATCTTCACACTCCTCCATGCTCTTAAAAAAATGCCTCTTGCAAGTCATGCTCTGTAGCATCCATGCTGATTTTAGACCTTTCCAAAAACATGTCAGTGAGGTCATGCATGTTAGCAATATGTAATCACAGTGCTTAATTTGTTCCAGTGGGTTTGCATCAGAAGGTAAACTATGGTGATTTGTGTGGTATCTGGAGTGTAAACGGGTACTTGAATTTTAGTGTCAAACAATATGAATCCTGTCTTTCCTTGTTTCGTTTCAATGCTTGTCATTCGTTAAAGGTGCCTCTATCCAGCTTAAAGAACTAACAGAAGTCCTTTCCCACAGGAGGAAGAATCACATAATAGACCAGCAACAAACACACTCCCAGACACCAGCCATCTAGAAACAGACATCTGGTGTGCAATGCCTCCATTGTCCAATGGGAATTCTGAGTCAAGAAGACCTAAAATAACATTTGATGATGCGTATGTAGTAACAAACAGCCCAGTCACATCTGATGGGATTTTATGTAGATGTCCAGTAGATGCCTTTGTTGAATGTGACACAAACTTTTGGGATCTTCACGCAAGTGAAATTCCCATTTGGTTCAATGGGAAATCGTACCTTGAGATAAAGACAGCATTGGGCCCTTGGCAGAGATATTCCTACTTGATGCTGCGTACGGTTTTACCCTTTACAAATGAATTGTTGTCACTGATTAATGAAGATTCTTTTGAGAAATGTTTTCAGATCATAAATGTTGAATTCCAGGGTAATTCTTCTCTAATTTTTTATTTTAGCTCTTCTAATGGAAACTTATTATAGTTAATTGGTTTGAATTATTTTTCCTTTTCTTCTGTTCAGCTCACATTAATGGCCCCTCTGGGCTGCTGTTCTCTGCAGCCAGCTATTTTACATTCTGCTCACCTATCGCAGCTTTACCTTCAGTAGCTCATCCTAATATCGGAATGAGATTTAAGCAAATAATTGGGCAAATATGTCTGAATTGTTCTTAGAAGCAGTTGGCACTTGTTTCAGGTGAAGTTTGTCCAACTGCTTGACATGAAAGACCTGAAAGAATTATCTTTGTCTTTTCTAGGCTTCACAATGCAGACTATTACATGCAAGAGGCTAAGAAGCTAAAGCACAAAGCGGATGCACTGGTAGGTTATCAAATATTTCTTTTGTCCTTCTAATCTATTATTGAATTATGTGTCTTGGACAAAGTTACACATTGTGGGCATTATTTGGAGCCCACCAAAGCCCAAAAGGAGCCTTTCTGTTGACTTCCATGAGCCTTGGATCAGGCTGCATATAAATCCAGAGCAAATTCAAGGCTGAGCATGGGGTATTTCCCAATGCTGTGCACAGATAACCAAGGTAGCTGTGAGTTGTGTACTGGAAACCACATCACTGCAGTAGTGTGTGTCTCTGCCAAAGTTAAGTAGCCCTGCTGGGCGTAGGGTTTAGCTTAGGCAGGCAGCCTCACTTAAGTGGCTGTACTGCTTCAGGTAACTGAGTTAGCCCTTTCTCAGAGCCTCTAGCGTCCCTGTACTTCATTCCCCTGTGCCATGTTGGCATCCCCACTGTTGCCAACCCCAGGAAGGTGGCCTGTAAGCACATGCCAACTCTTGCTGTGTGGGAGATGGGATTTTGAGATTTCTAATTTGGAGACATTGCGAACTGCTCTGGGACAGAGACTCTGAAAACACGTTCATTTCACAGTCCGTTTTCACAAAACGTGACAAAGAGACTTAATGTTTCATTTTAATTTCAACCTTTAACATGTTGCATTGTGCTATAATATTCTAATATAGTATAAACTGGAAATAAAAACAAAAAGTCATTTTTGTCAGAACAAGAAGTCAGACTCTTTTAACACTGTCAAAACTTTTTTTTCCCCGTTTCTGAACAAAATGAAGTTCCTGTAAAATTCACCCAATCTGTTGAACCATTTTGATTTTGACTTAATCGTGTCTTCTGATGGATGATGGTTTCATCAAGGTTTCTCTAACTAGCACTCCTGCCCAGCCTGAAATGCCCACAATATAATTCTTTCACTGTAATACAATGTTTGGGTGCCTATAGACATGCTCTGATGTGCTCTAATTAGAACACATTGGAGCAGACTCATTAATTAGAACACTCCAGCGTGCCTCACCTTCATGTGTATAAGCCCCCATTTCAGAATGGCTGCATGGGCACTTTAAAGCTCATTCAACAAGTTTTAGATAAAGCACGTTTGCAGGCATTTTGAAATGCACAGGGGCTTATACATGTGACAGCGAGGCTTTTTAATTAGAGTGGCTCTCTGGGAGCCACTCTAATTAAACCCACCATCCCAACTTCCGAGTACATGTATAGACACGCTTTGATCCCATCTGCCACTGCATGTAGCACAGCAGCTCCTTTAGGACGCCTTAGTGGTACTTGACTCATTTCTTTAGAACAAGATCTTTGTATCATACAGTTGAGCACGATCTCTCAATTTACCCACACAAATTATACTCAAGTTCAAATAACAGGATTGCAGGGACTATTTTTACCCTTGTTAAGGTCATTTTTTTGCCCACAAAACATGTTATTTGGCATCCAGGAATCTACCTTTCATGCTTGCAAAATAAGCCTGACAAACCAAAAAAATAAAATAAATAGAGAAATCGTAGTCTGGAAATGCTGCTGCTCTTGCTGCAAGTGGCAAGAAGGACTGGGGACCTGAGTCCACCAGTTTCAGTCGGCCTTCTTCCTCTTCCTGATTCGGGGGCAATAAGGGCCCCAGTGTGTTTTTCACAGGGCTCAGGCTCTGGCTGTTGCCAGCCTCCCTTGACAGTCACCGAGCTAGAAGTCATACCTCCTGACGTGCCCATTTAGAGAAGGTGGCCCCTGCTGATTGCTTAAGACTGACTCAGTAGAGCATATTCAGTCACAATGCTGACATCTATACGCAGGGAAGGCTTGCAGAAGCAGACTGACAACACCTCCTGCAGCTGATTGACCTTTAAGGAAAACACACATGGTTCTGGCATAAGCCTGCCTGCTCAACGCTAGCAAATATTTACAGGCTGAAGCTCATGATGGTCTCAACATGCTATGTCAATCCACTTTTCTCCACAGTCTGATTCACTCAGAAAGTGTTGACCTGTCTTCCATCTTCTTACCTTTGACTATGCCCTACAGAATTAGGGGTGTTGCTCAAGCAGAACTAACATGAAAAGGCATTGCACATCATGTTGTTGCCAGCAGGCAGGTCTTTGCTGTCACATGTAGTTTGACACCCCAAGTGCTCTTACTGGAATGCCAAGCCAGCACTGGGATATAACTTGTTGGCAGCTACAAATGCCCATGAACTCTGTCTTGCCGTTTCTTTCCATTATTTAGGTTTTACATTTTTTTCTCCCGGTGCAGTTGCGCACACATTATCTCCAAGTGACACATGTACCATGCAAAATGTGGTGTTGCTTGTCCTGTAGAACCAATTACTTCTGGTTACTTGGGGCTGATGCAACAAAGCATGCAAAATTGAAAGATCTGTTGTAGTGACAGGGAGGCTAATGCACATGATCCCCACCAGCGGCAAGCGGTTTTAACCAGATATGTGGTAGCAAAGTTTCTGGGCTTGCACCAAGAAGGGATTCCTGACAAAAGTGAGGGCATTTGGAATATCATGGAGTGCCCCAATATAAGCACATCATTGCCTGGAACAACAGCAAGGGATCAACTAACTACAGATTGGGAAGACTATCTTTGGAACAACTGGCTGCAGTCAGTAAGCAAGAGACTGTGGAGACCTTATTGTACCTTCATATATACCCCTGCAAAGGCAGTATATTTCCACAGCCTTCATTCAGTCACCCTGCATTTAGATCGGTATATGTGAGATCACAATCATGTCCCCTGACTTTATCACCATTAATTTGCTAAATCGCTTTAGAGCTAGATTCATTTTCTATATTATATGGAAAATGAAGACCTGAAACAAGGTTTTGGCTTGGATGAATTCTGGGGACTGATTTGTGGCATGCAGAGAGGCTCAGATGGGTTGCCATCCGTTTATGACTATATGAAGAATACCGTAGGATGAGCAAACAAACAAATTGTATTTTGTTACCAGGCTGAATTTTGCACAATTAAGATGATAGGGTAGAAAGCAGCATTAAAACTTCTATGACCATCCCCTGTGTGGAACATTTCTGGTGCAGAGAGCTAGTAATGGTAGGCACAGGGCAAAATACACCAGTATCTTTTACCGTTGTAGAGCTCTACAAATACATTGTTATAGGAGACTGCCAGTTTGTGAATGGAAAACATGCGCAGATGCATCAACAATATTTTGATAGAGACATACATAGACGCTTTAAACAGGCCTGTGCTATATTGGTTCTTTTACATTAAGTGCAGTATTACATCCGGCTATCAAAAATTGAAAACGTTAAATACTATTATGAAATACTTACTGTAAAAGTGTCATAAAAATATTCATTCCGCATAAAAAAGAAATCAGTATTTCTAAGTCAGTTTAATCACAACCATTATCAGGGCTACAACCTTTTGCAATAAAATTCTAGTAAAATAAAATATTTAGCAGCGCTCTATTTTTTACCTTTTTTCCTATTTCAGTGTAACCTAAGTGAGGAGACTTCTGGTTTTTTCTGTCAACAGTCACAAGGGAGCATCACGTTTATTCCATGACAAATGGCAGGAATTTGTTACTTCAATTCTTGCACAGCAGTGTTCAAACTTAGTCCTGTGTATTGAAGGGGCAAAATGGAATTGCTAAAGTATGCACCAACTCTCATCCTCTGCTGGTGTATATTGGTGCAGTTCCATTGGAGTCATCAGACCTATGCTGATTTACATGGATCTAGCCCAATGTTATGTTAAACCTGGCTTAAATTTATTAAAATATTCATCCTTAGCGTCAGTGTTGCTTTGTATTACATTGTGCTTTATCTACCTGGAAATAAAAGCCAAAGCATCTTCTTGATGGTGTCATTCCTATTTCAGTTGGAGAAGTTCGGTAAAGCAGTGAATTATGCTGATGCTGCCCTCTCCTTCATTGAGTGCGGGAATGCTATGGAGCGAGATCCATTAGAAGCTAAATCTCCCTACACCATGTACTCAGAGACTGTGGAACTCATCAGGTTAATGTCCTTTCTGTGATCATTTTCATAATCTCATTTCAGTCATAATTAGAACCTGCTATGTTTTAAAAAATATCATTTCAACATATTAATGATTTGTCCAAGGCATCTTCATCTCAGAAGTCATCATAATTAGTTCTTGCCATTTTATTAATGTCATGGAAAATTTATAATTGATGGACACTGCTTTTATAAATTATCCCCTTTAGAGGTTATAATGTGAGTGTTATAATTTGCAATATTCATAAAATTAAAATTGAAATGTAGTGGGTGGAAGTAAAGTATAGTCATTTCACAGTTTGGCAATGACACTTGTCTTTTAAAAGGTGTAGTTTTATAATTCAAAACATTAAAGCGAGTCTATCAGGATTTCTATTTCAAACCCTGTTTTCCAGAGGTTTATAACTTCGCTGTAAAAAATTGTTCCAGGCTGGAACTTGACATATAAGGTCACAGCCAAAGAGCAAGTTTTTTGCATGTATTTTATATACTATGGGGGTGTGTGTGTGTATGTATATGTGTGTGTATGTATATGTGTGTGTGTATATATATGTATGTATGTGTGTGTGTATATATGTATATATATAGTTTTTTAATGTTAAAGGAATGTGAAGTGACTAAAGTCTACTGAATTCATTTTTAATACAATTTTGCACACTCCTAGTCCAGAATATAAATGACAGCCTTTGGCTAATGTTAAGACGCCTGAGTTAGTTTTTGAAAATCAGCTCCTAGTTTCTATAGCTGCCTTATAGTATGGAGTCCATAGCTTAGTCTGCTGAAGAATTCGTGGGCCAAATCTTGCCCACTTGACTCACACAAATAATAATCCCATTGAAATAAGTAGGACAAGATTTACTGTTGAGTAAAGCTAACAGGATTTTGCCCTGACTCTCCTCTTGCCTACACCAGTTTTATCCTCACATATCACCAGTGATGCCAGTGCAGCCATTCCTGATCTACACCAGTGAGAGGAGCAGTGCAAAGTGTTTACTTTTTCTAGGGCATATTTTTATGGGAGAGATCCCAGTGTGTCGGATTAGCTATTAGAGTCTATCAAAAAATAATGCGTGTTTTACATTTTGAATAAGTAGGTATTTACATAATAAAATGTATCAGATCTGAAGGAGCTGTAACTCCCAGGTAAATAATAAGCCTGTTAAATATTTAAAAATATGTATTTACATATTACACTTGTGACAAAGAAAGAGATTACACGGCAAGTATGATGTTCACACAACACTGCGGATCTAAGTAAAACTCTCAAGGGCCCTGAAATTAAGAATGCCTGCCTCTTCCTCCATCTCGATTGTGCCTAAATTTCGCAGGGTGCCTTACTATATTGTCCTATGGGCTACAGGACATACACACAACATGATAGGGAAGGGTATAGGGCAGAATTTCCTTTTCTTTAAATGCTGTGAGCATTATTTCATATGTAAGAAATATTGTTTTGGAGAAGCAAAGCTGCATGGTCCTGTCTGTCTATCTAATTCACACTAGTGTTTAGGGCAGTGCGTCTCAACCAGGGTGCAATGGCACCGTGCTGTGCCTTGAGATCTTTGCAGGGGTGCTACAGGGTGCCAGGCCCTTCTAGCACTGTTAGGTGTACACACATGACTCACAAGATAAACCCAGAGATTTCGAACAGAAATCCACAGTTGTGTCTTTCTGAGTTCTTTGCAACAGAAAAAAATGCTGTATATAGGCAAAAAAAGCATAAAAACGAAGAGCTGGCTTTTCCAAGCGGTGTCTCGAGCCTATGAAGGGGTACCTTGAGTCTAAAAAAGTTGAAAACCACTGCTTTAGGGGTAGAGTCCTATCTATGCCCACTGAAGTCCCTGGCAACCCCTCTGTTAATTTTAATGATGCAGGATCAGAGGATACTCTGCGCAAGTAAATTATTAGCGCTCCATGCTGATGGCCATAGTTGATGCTCCTGATCTTAATCCTTTCCTTGTTCTGAGCGTCACCAACTTCCTTACCATAAAAGAAGAGTCTCCGCAGGCTGCTGGCATTGATATTCATTTTTAAAGCTGCGCCCCTGTTAAGATTGGGTTAAGTTAGGAGTCACTTGATGAAGTACTGTGACCTGGGCAATCTGCAAGGTTAGACTAGATGATCTAATGGTCCCTTTGATCCTTCAGATATATGAATCCATGAATGATAAACCATTGCACATGGAAGATGACTAAACTCTACTCGCTTGCCCATGGTTTCCAATTACTCTGAAACTCATCAACTCCTCAGCTGGATTCCTTTAAAAATACGGGGTGTTGGGGAGTACTGCACCACTGCATATTTATCACTTAATAGTAGAATATCAGTCTGGATATGCACAGGGCCTGATTTTCAAAAACTGTTGCACAGCCATCAATTAAGTGCCTAGATTGTGTGCCTGGTTATCCTGACTGCCCAAGTAAATCAAGTGACTGCACAGGTAAATGGCAGGTAGCTTCTCAGCTGGCTGTTTGCACTTGCAAATACGCAATTTGTATATGCCACCTTGGGAGTGAGTGTGCAAATTAAATGCAAAAGAGTGCACCTGTGTTTTTTAAAAAACGTGGCCCTTAATGTTGCCGTGTTACCAAAAAAAAAAAAAAAAAA